TATAAATTTATCTGCTCTTTCATAACTATAATACCAAGTTTATATCCAAATATTAATAGAATAGATTGTTAATTTATTGTTAATTCTTTAGGTTTTGCTAGTTTATATCCACTACTAGCATATATAAAGTCTTTTCTATTGGCTTTCCATGTTTCCCATTAACATAAAACTGTTTACTCTCCCTCATAACTCCACTTCACAACTAGCTACATGGCTGTACTCGCCACGCCGTAAACGAAACAGTCACCGAATCCTTCACAGTCGACGCTTCAGTGGGGCGCAAGCTGGAGTTCCGGCTCGACACAGACAGGGCAGTCGACTTCTCAGAACGCCCGCACCTGATACGACCCAACGGCACTCGCATCAACGCCATAACCACTGACGGTGTCCTGTGGGCCGTCTCTCTACCGGTGGCCGAGGTGAGAATGAGGTCGGAGGGAGGGAGGACGAGGGAGGTTTCTATTGTGTTTTTGTTTTTTCCATGTGGAGTATTTGGTTGTGTTCTAGGTTTCATATTGTTTCGTTTCTGTTTCTTAGGTTTTCTATTTTTTTCTTATGTGGGGGGGAGGGTTCATTCCACCTTTCTTCTTTTTCTTGATGTTTAGTGTGTTGTTTTTATCTCTTACGTTTTGACTTTTAGTGTTTCCTTTGTTTTATTATTATCGTACAGAAAAAGAGACGCTGAATGATAAAGAAGTGGAGAACTGTGTCCTAAAAGAGAGAGAGAGAGAGAGGGAGAGAGAGAGAGAGAGAGAGAGAGAGAGAGAGAGAGAGAGAGAGAGAGAGAGAGGTGGGGGGGGGGGTCAGAAAAAACAGCAACAGACAAACGCACGAACATAACTTCTTTCCGTAGGTTGGATTGTGGACTTGGCGTCTTACTTTGCCCGCCTACGAAAACTGTTACATCCACGTCAGTGTTACGGCCACAGGAAGGGAACCAGAGACGTTACCCATCATTTCTCGTGCTTGGGTAAGTAAAAGGTTTGTTAAAAGTTGGTTTTATTCGGGATAAGTAATTCTGAAAGATCGTATGGGTCTAAATGCAGAATTATTCAAGTTATATTCTTCAGTAAGTTACTAGTTTTGCGTTTGTTATAATCAAATAGTTAAGTTGAAATACACTGTTACTTACACCTTATTCATACCATAACTTCTACCGTTTCCTAGTTAAACGTAGGGCCGTATGGTGTGGACATCCCAAACAACCCTGTTATTGTGTACGCGGAAATTAAACAAGGAAACAACCCCGTCGTTGATGCCAGAGTCAGGTCAGGTTTGTTTGGTTTGTATGAAGTGCATTTGGTCCGTAACAGAAGACTAATGTGGCACCGTAATGTTGAGGCGGTGCTTAAGGAGTAAAGGGCTTTGGGTTCGTTATTGATATTGGACTCTGTGAAGTATATTCGATGTCAGTAAATGGTATAGCGCAAATGTGTATACATTCAACCACGTACGTGACAAACATACGTGCCCTTTCACATGCACGCACGCACGCACGTTTGTGATCCGAACTAAGCGGGGGACAAAATAAAAAGATTACAACTGATGTGAAAGTCAAATCAAGAAACACGAAACAGCCAAAATAAGATTCCTCACAAACTTTCTCATAACCCGACAGAGCGACCGTCACGCAGCCAAAGGAAGACCTTGACGCAGTGGAGTTTGACCTTCTCGACAACGGCCAAGGCGCAGACACTCAGGCGGGAGATGGAGTCTATTCACGATACTACACTGTGTACCCAGATGCCGGCAGGTACTCCGTCGAGGTCCAGGTAGGAATTCATTGAGACAAATCTGTGAATGGGAATGACTGGTTTCAGATAAGCTGGTGGATTTGGATGTTATATCTGGAGACATAAAATCACTATCTAGAAAATGTGTTTACAAAATGATGCGGAATACCGTTACGAAGACCTCTTGTTGTTTTATCTGTCAATTAATCTGCTTTTTATATACATATCTTTTACTTACTATCTGCATCAACACGGCAGAGTGCGTTACTATTTATCTCCATCAAGATGTAATAGCTAAGCTTCATTCTCTCGTTCTCTAAATATTTCAAAAAAGGGCCATTTCAGTTACGCTTAGCTTCTTGGCATGATACTACTTTATAATGATGATAATATTAAGCATATATCTAGGTATGTGTATATATATCTGTATATATATGTGTGTGTGTGTGTGTGTGTGTGTGTGTGTGTGTGTGTGTGTGTGTGTGTGTGTGTGTGTGTGTGTGTGTGTGTGTAATCAAATGTACAGAGTATAATATATATCTGAACTTCCAGGTGTGGGGCGACGATTACACCTTCGTCAATAATGGCTCTGAAAAGTCGAGTCAACAAGTTCTCAGTCAGTATATGCATTAATTCTGATGGTATATAGTATATATGTATGTATGTATGTATATATTAGTATTAGTTTTATTGTTATTATGTCATCATCATGTATTTTACTCATCACTGTATTTTATCATCATTATTCAGACAATAACTGGTGTAAA